GCGGGGTCTGCGCGGGGTGCGGGGCGAGGGGTCGCAGGGGACACCGCAGCCTTAGCAGGAGAAGATCCGCTACCCTGTAATCATTTTTTATTGTAAATAATCATTGAATTATATATTTGGGCGTATACCCCACGCGTGGGCAATACATCTCGGATTTATAGTGGGCAGTTTGTCGTATAATGTATACGTATGTGGGAAATGTCTCTCTTATGTATACCTGAAATCAATAGCAAGAATTAAAAAGACTTGCAAAGTAAAATTAAAGCTTATTTCAATGGTATAAAGTTCAGTTTCATTTGCGATAAAAAAATCTGCTCTGCTCTCGGTTAGGTGGGGAGTGCGTTTTATTCCCTGATCGTGGGCAATGACTTACTTGCTAAGTGGGCAATGTTGCATAAAGCTGGGCGTGGGCAATGACTCACCTGCTCAGTGGGCAGTGGCGCGTACCCGTTGGGCGTGGGCAGCTCGTCCACAGGCACAGGTCTGCCGGCCGCGTGCAATCGTATCGCGTCCTGGTACTGCTTCACGATACGACCCATGCGACGAGCTTTCGACGAATTACCTTGTTCTTTAGCTTTCGCTTCTTGATCCTAAAAAAAATTGTTTTTTTAATTGAAAATACGGCGCACTGTACACGGAGGGACGTAAAGTACAATATTTTTAGTAACACGTAACATATTCTTGAGTTTATTCAACGACTAGCTTTTGCCGGCAGCTTCGTCTGCACAGTTTTTAAAAAAAATTGTATTTCATGTGTTACTACATACTATGTAGCCTATGTTTCCTTCCAGATGGATGTTCTACATTTATACCAAATTTTCTCAAGAACCTTTGAACTGTTCTAGAGAAAGTTTCTAACATACATCCAAACATTCACAATTGATATTAGGAGTTAAAATTAATCGAGACATACAGATCGGCAGATATTTAACGACATATTACCTGGAATGCAGCAAGTCTTTGTTTCAAAGCTTCAGCGAGTGTTGTAGCTGTTATCAAGCCGGCAGGTTCCGGCTCTGGCTCCGGAGGACTGGGTTCTGTATGCATATTGTTAATTCGTTAGTTAAACATTATAAAAACAAGTTATTTCTACTTATAAAAGTAACCAAAAAGATATAACTTCGTCATCAAAATATCCGAAGAATTTTTTTTTTCAAAATTTTGGTTTTTATTAAAAAATCAATTATTTTTAACCTGTTGAATTCTGCACACTGTCTTCTCCTTTCTGTTGCGATTTGAATGCAGCTGCGATAACTTCAGGCGTAGGCAGTTCACTGAGGTCCATCTGTTCACCGGCTCTGTATGCTTGCACCACCAGGTCGAATTGTTTCACCACCTTCAAGTGTTCTAGTGCTAATGCCTTATCACCTGACTGCTTGCAGGATAATGCAGCTGCTTTGAATTCCTCTTTACGTTCTGAAAAAAAAGTTTTTTTTTTACGGTTTTGTCAAAGCACACTTGTGATATTTTTTAATAAAGTAACAATTATTTAACTGTCAAATAAAATGCAGTAGAATTGTACAAAATAGACAGCATTATTAAGTCATAATTACTCAAAATAATCTGCAAGCCCTCCTGTCTCTCCGGGCTGATCCCCTGCGACTCCACCCTAGGAGGTGGGGGAGGAGGTTCCGTGGGTTCTGGAGCTATCGGCGGCTCTGTAGCTTCCAGAGGAGGAGATACTGGCGGAGCACTGGGCACAGGTTCAGATGCTGCAGCAGGCTGCTCAGAGGCAGGTTTGCCTAAGCTGACAGGTGGTGGTATGTCCTCATTCTTGATAGGTCTGCCTGCTTTAGCTTGTTTGAGTAGATCATTGAGTGTTTTTAAACCACGTCCAAATCTGTAGATGAAAAATTTGACTTTCATATCTTACGAGGCAACTTGTAATAATGTACTACTGCCATTTGAGTTCCTAAAATTACTTTAGAGAGATTCCAAATAATCTGCTAAGTTTTGGGTTCACTGCACAAGTTCAATAGCTGTCTTGGATGATTCAACAAAGAATTACAATGAAGGTTAACCCTTGATCAACATTTAGAACTATAATAATAAATTGTGAAGTTACATGTACCTTCTAGCACGGCTACTCTCTCCACTCTCCTTGGCATGTTTCTCCGCTGCACTGTAGTTAGTGATCCTGTCCTGTAGCACACTGATAACACTACTGTCTGTGCTGGTAGGCGGCGGGGGCGCGGGGCGAGCAGCGCGGGGTGGGGGAGAAGGTGCCTCATCATCATCTATGGCCAACTCCTTCAGCTCACTCAAAAGGTCAGGGTCGTCATCATCGCCTAGTATTTATGAAGTAATTTTTTTTAAGTTTTTGAACTTATTTTGTAACCTTTTGTTTCCATAACTTAAGATAACTACAGTAGTGATATTCTTAGCTAACCAATGTTACACAAATGAGGATTTCCTTCATTGAAATGAATTGAGGAAATCACAAATGAGACAGTCATCAATATAATTCATTTTAAATAGCATAATAATAGCATCTATATCTTAGAATCACAGTTGAAACTGGATAAGCAACAATCTAAGAGACTAGCTTATGTACTACATTACTTATTATGCTTATGTACTTTTTAACATTTTACATGGCTAGACTTGATTATGACATTAATGAGTTTACATATTTTATTATTTTTTTAATTACATCTTACCTGACCCTTCATCATCAGATGGAATATCCTTGAGACTCTCAGCGATCATAGCATCCAAGTTGGCCGCGGGCATTGGTGCAGGTTTCTTAGGCCGGCGAGCTCCCCCACCACTGATAGCTGCCAATTCAGCTTCCAAATCGATGTCATCATCAGACAGATCAAGAGGTTCATCTCCATCGTCAAAGTCTGGAATATCTAGTAGACCAAACTATAATAAAAAAAATGTATTAAGTATACTGTATTGTTTTTAATATTTCGTATTTCTTTATTTATGGGTACAACATGTATTAAAGAGCATCTTAAATTTAAATTAAGACTTAAAATTTAAACTAATTAAGTGATTTTGATGCTTTCTTCTAAATGGTAAGATTAGTAGTTATATCTTTTCATTCAACACTAATCTGGACATAAAATTTACAACATAGTCAATTTTTATACGACAAAAGTTAAGAATTATTATGTGTTTTTGCTAAAAATCAAGCGATCTTTCTAAGACAAAACAAACAATGACTCACTTGGGACAAGTTGCTCTTTTTTCCACTACTTGGTTTGCGCGACATTGTATCTGATTATAAAGATGAATTAAAAAACTTTGATTGCAATGTGCTCAACAGGGTATTACAAGATTATTAGTACAAAAGATTTTTTTAATTTGTTAAAATTTTCTACTCAGTTTTTGACTTTGTCTTGTCAAAACTTGTCAATAATCAATAACAATTTTCTAACTGACATTGACTCATTGAATGAACGAAGAATATTAGTAAATGTCAGAGGCAAGCAGCTAATTTTATAGTCTGTAATTAACCGCGAGGCAATCACCTAGTCTAAAATATCCCTTAAAAATACCTCTCCTTTACCCCCTTTTACAACTTCTATTTGTTTAGTTGAAGATAGAGGAAGAGAATAAATACTATTCCGCAGAACAGAAATTGACTTTTTACGTCGTTACATTAACTCACTTGGGAATTAAGAGGTCACAAGACATATTAAAAAACGTTAATTTCATTTTGAAACACCTCATTTTCCCATATCACAAGAATGTATGTAAAATAAACCCAAAAATATGCACGTTTTTAGATTTTTTTTAGCGAAATGCGAAAGGAATATCAATTTCCTGTTTTAACATTTATACTCTATTTTGCTTTGCTCTATCTGTCTGTGGTGAGAGTGACGTATGAACAGCCGAAACGAAAACGAAAGAAAAGCCCTCAGTGCCGTTGTTATCTTCTAAAATTCCTGAAGAATGGAGACAAACGGCCAGGCTAATGGGCTTAAATCCAGAAAGAAAGACAACAGTGATGGGAAGGATAATTTATGGTAATGGTTATTTGTTATTTTACGAGTAACATACAGCATCCATGTAGGGTATCCAATGTGTCACACCTACGTGATGTCAAGATTCTTACCTGAGAACTATATGACCTAGCTGCGACGAACACCTTTTGTGTGCTAACAAGCGCTAGAGTATTCACTACAACATTCCATTCCATACATAAACATGTGGACTTTTGTGTGTAAGGTAATATTTTATCGTTCAACAATATTACGGTGAATGTCTCTTCCAGGTCTGCGATTTTAGAAGAAGTTCAAAACCAGGGTAACACTAAACTACCTTCAAACAAGAATGTATTAGTTTTGGGCGATAACGAAACTGGTAAAACCACACTCATAGCTAAGTTACAAGGTGTTGAAGACCCAAAGAAAGGCTCAGCACTGGAATATGCATATATAGATGTAAGAGATGAATATCGTGATGGTAAGTACCTTTATTATGTCAAATATTATTCTTATTAGAAAATGAAAGTAATCCCTGATTAATACAGTAACTGTAAACAGGAAATTTCAATGTTTTGAATCAACCCATAATGTATATAAAACCACTACAATATTACTATTTTCTAGTACAACTAGTGAATGGACACAACAACAAAGAAATGTTATATAAATAAAGCTAAATGAATATTTAAAAAAAAAGTTGCTTATCTGTTAAATGTGGAGTAATTAAGCATAATAATAATAAAAAATACTATGAAATTGCTAAAAGTTAATATAAAAATTAAAACATTATGTTACTTTAGTAATGTGTTTCCTTGTTTTAGACCACACAAGGCTCAGTGTATGGGTGCTGGATGGAGATCCAGGCCATACAAACCTGCTCAAGTTTGCACTAAATGAGGACACATTCCCACACACCTTGGTCATATTCACAGTAGCAATGACCACACCATGGGGCTTACTAGATCAACTACAAAGCTGGGCGTCCATGCTTGGTGATCATATAGACAAATTAGATCTCACACCTGGTAAGTACTCTTACTTTCTTACAAATATTAAAAATGTGAATGTTTAGATGGATGGATGTTTGTTTGAAGGTGTCTCCAGAGTGGCTGAACTGATCTCGATGAAATTTAGCATGGATGTAGAATATATTCTGATTGACTTAAAGTCCTATGTCCCCCTAGTGAGGCAGAGGGTGTCCACAGTGCGGAAGAACATATAGGATACTAATTAAGTTTTTTTTTAATTCCATGCAGACAGTGTCACAGGCTATAGCTATTTATAAAATTAATATTTCTGATGGACTAAAACACAATTATGGTACAGTCTACAGATTTTACGGTTTTAAGTATAAATCCTATTTGAGGCTTAATCATAGCATAATCTTCATGTTTTTTTTTTAAACAATATTGTTATTTAAATATAATTTTATATAAAGAAAGTTCTCAGTTCATTGTAACATCCGAGGTGAACTTTGTCCTGTTATCTCTTGAAGTGTCACTTTCATATGTAGTTGTGTAGAATTTTTACACATATAGCTATTTATTTATAGTTTAAATCCTCTTTTGCTACATATATCTTGTTAGAAATAATGAAATATTGATGTAGATATCTCAAATTTGTTTATGTTTACTCATAGTTGAATTAATTTGCTTGTGCATTTTTGTTGACATCAATATTGTTTTGTTATCTGTGATCTTACACAATAGGTTTTTTTGCGACATTTTACAATAGAGGCTTATCTTCTTAACTTTGATTTAATCTTCAATAAATTTATATTGATAATATTTAAGTCTGGTTAGTTTGAAAACTTTAAGAGTATGATATAAAAATGAATCTGAATATTTTATTACTGGTTTAAAACTTATTAAAGGTATTTAAAAATAAACATTTTCTAAGTTGATAAATCACTATATAGCACATTTATAATGCGTTGTTTATTTTACGATGCAAATATTTCCGTTAAGATGCTATAAAAGATCCGGATACGACGTTATACGATAAAAGAGCTTAAAGTTAAAAGCTCTAAGTTTAAAATTCCTCGTACTTTATGGTAAAGTTTCAAAGACACTAGTAGAATATTAAGGTCCAACATAATGTTTATTTCTCGACGCTGACTCATTCTGTTACGTCAGTGACGTCTTGCGTAGCTTAATCAAATGCTATGTTAAAACCAGCTGCTTTATTCAATGACACATTGTCGACAGGTTATATGACTTTTGAACTAAGCTTAATATGTGTTTAGATATAAGTGTATGTGTTTACATATGTGTAAACGATAATTGTGTGCACCTGAGATGTTATAGTTATATTTTGTTAGACAATTGAAAATGTCAAGTTCAATGTTTACCGATTAAAATTATCTTCGCGTCTGTCGAAAACAAATGCTGTACTTAAGTAGGGGTACCATCTTAGGTCGCGGATGAAAGCGCAAGCATGCCCGTGGCCTTGCCATGATGCGTAGGAGGAACTGGGTTTAGTAGGTATGCTTCCCATCCGGAAGAGAATCCCACATAACTACCGCGTTACCCCTCGGGGCGCGGAGTATGCATAAAGCATTCCCCTCTGAAAAAACAGAGGGGTACTATCTTAGAATGATCGTAGATCCGTTGTTGGTGGAAAATCTTCATGTTTCGCATTACTCTGACGAAGTATTCGCACTTACGCCAGCCCTAAGAATTGACATCGATCGATATCTTGACGTCCAGTTCTCTCCCCTTGTTGTCTGTACGTACCATCATATAATTGAGTCTACGTGTTAACTTATTAGTCACAAAAATAACCTCTTTTTAAATATTAATAGGCTTCTATCGGTAGCAAAGGAGTTTGCCTAAATAGCTGACCTTATCCGGCTTCTAAAGGTCACAAACACCTTTCGTCCGATTTTTTTCGGGTATTTAAGTCAGGTGATTGACCGTTAATCAAGTCTATTATTTGAGCACTAGATAATAATATCTAAAATCTTTTCTAACGTCATTAAAATATTAGAAATAATCTCTTGAAATACGTTTTTTTACGCCGAAACTAAGGAGTTTCAGTTTATAATTCAATTACCAAAAGTAAGTTCAACTAATTAAAACTCATAGACAATTAACACATTAAGGAAACGTTACAATTACATCTTATTAGAATAATTTATTTCCAGTTAGTAAGCTTTTTAACTTATAACGGGTTTCTAATCCGGTAACGTAAAAATGTATTTGTCTTAATCTTCACTTAGATTTTACATCTGTTCTATTGTTTACTTTTGTACGGGAAATAGAAAAAAAAAGTTAAATTAAACAAATTGACTCCACCTAAAATCTAGTTTATTTACACCCTGTATATTGTCAGCTCTTTTGAATCTGACAAATACGAAATAATATTCAGTAGAAAGTATATGCTTTTGTGAAAATAATTCATGAAGTTGTCTGATATTATGAACGTAAGTATAGATGTTTTCATGAAGGAAAGTTGATTGCGACAGTTTTTAAAATATTTTGGCACTTTAGTTCTTGTATGTAGCAGAGTGGCGAGTGCGACGCTCTCATCTGCAATTAATTTGTGAAAGTGCACGGCCGCGGGAAATGACCGTTGCTGACAAATTTATACATCACTACGAAGCTGCAATACGTTTTTTTTTATTAAAGGAAACGGAATAGCGAACGATTCATGTTTTTTTCAACACTTTATAATTAAATTACGATATAAATAATGCAATCTGAACGCTCTTTGCTTTAAAATGCATATGAAGAGCATTTTATGATAGTATTTTGAAATTATATGTATCCTATGGTCAGTCGAGGCGTTAAGGTAGGGCGAGGTGGTGCGGCCGCCTAGGGCGTCGGGCATAATGGGACAACGCAAGCGCCAGAGTTAGATATAAAAGGGCACATGGGATGCAAGTAAGATAGGGTAATTTTGGAGGATTTCTCCCGACATGAAAAAAGGGGGTGTCGTAAAAATCTCGCCCAGGGCGCCAGAATCTGGCCCTGCCCATATTGTCGAAATTACTGATTACAATTAAAACTTGTCAGTTAACTACCACAATGACGTCAGCATCATTGTACTGGTTGATATCTCCAGCTCCACAATTATAACATACAATGATAGTTATACATGCATTACTGTTGAGTTGCTTGTAAATGAATCTATACATCTAAGAAATTCCCTCTGAATTTAGCTTCAAAGATTGATTAAGCCATTTCAACGCGCTGTTTGGTCCATAGACCCATGTTAAGTAATTAGTAACGTGGCCTTCTCTCAAATTTACCTATCTATATTATATTCATCACCTCGTGTATGTCCCCACCGAAGGACGTAAAGTAGAGGGCTGTAGGGGCTCAAGGTCAAAAGCTTTGGTCAACGGCGTTGGTCCAATCACGATTGGTTATTTGTACACATTTTTATTTAATGTTATTACATACAATATACATAATTAATTATATAACACTACTTTATCGTGTGTTAACAGAGCATTGTTTGAACGTTAGTATCCTAAATAGCGTCCCCTGTATCTTAGTGTGATGTTTCCAGAACAAAGGTTGGACAGTAAGAAGGCACAGACGCAGAAGTGGCAACGGTACACGGAGCCCGGAGACGAGCTGGAGCCTGCTACGTCGCCAATGAAGCGATCCTCACGCAACTTGGCGGATGAACTCGCGCATGATGATGATGATGACGCGCCGCTGCCAGAAGCCGTGCTCACAACCAACCTAGGACTGGATATTGTCGTCGTTGTAACTAAGGTAAGGGTTGCTAGTTAGATGTGGTTTTTCTATACACAAGTTTTTTTTTTACGTTGTCGTGTTTAAGTTATCACTAAGAAGTGATATAATCACCTACATTTGTTTTAAAACGTTCAGTATTTTTTAAAGAAAAGGGTTACCGATTTTTAATTTTAGTAAATAATGCCTGCCGAAGTCGCTAAGAAAGACTTTTAGTCCAGATTTAGTGTAGGAAATCTCCACTGAGCGACTATTAACTTAGTGATAATAGTGCGCAATAAATGAGCAATTACGTTGTTACATCAGACGGACTACATGAGCACATTGGAGAAGGAACACGACTACCGCGACGAGCACTTTGACTTCATGCAGCAGTGGGTCCGCCGCTTCTGTCTGCAGTACGGCGCCGCACTTTTCTATACCAGTGCCAAGGAGGACAAGAACTGTGACTTACTCTACAAGTACCTCACACATCGGATATACGGCTTACCATTCCGCACGCCCGCGCTTATTGTTGAAAAGGACGCGGTGCTCATGTGAGTATTTTATACATAGATTTATTTTTCTTATATAATAGATTTATGAAGGATAACGCCTAATTTTATAACTGTAACGTATTATGTGTTTGATGAAATCCCATTTTTATAGCATCATCTTTTAATATCAAATCGCAAAGAAATATTTTCATGAAGAGAACAAACGTCGTAACCTATTGAAATTTTTAACGCGCAATCATGGAATAATATTTTGTCTAGACAAGGAGTGAACAATCTTAATTTTGGTAGTTTTTATAGATGATTTGGTACAAATATATCAATAAAGTGTGCATGTCCGTGTATATACATCACTTTCTTATTATATTTTTTTGTATAACGTTTACTTCATGTTTTGTGTATGTTGCGTGCTACCCATTTTAATAGTAAAGGGATATTTATGAACCCCTGGTCAAACCCCACCATATAAAATGGACGGGGAAGGACAATTAATAAACGAAACGATTATTTTCTACTCTATCTATATAATAAGTAGAGTGGTAATTTGAATGCAACAGAATTTCAAAATCCTAGTGAAAACATTGGCATTACGTTTTCTTACGTATTAAACTATTTATCCCTTGCTTAACTTTGTTTTAAAATGTCAGTAAAATACCACAATTTCACTTTATCTAGTGAATGTTGTTGTTGTGATATAAAAATAATAGTAAAAGTTGTGAATTGCATTTGAGATGAGGCGGTATTGTGATAGGGTGAGTCATTTGGCGCATGTCAATGTGACTCACAGATCGATAGTCCGCTCTGCAGTGTTAAGATAAACTTATTCCGCATATTTTCTAATTTGCTATTGGCGTTTTTAATACTAAAGTAACAACAAACGGTCATACCAAAACATGAAAATTTTACTAATATTATAATTACGAAAGTAGATGGATGGATTTGTTAGAAGGTATTTCTAGAACGGCTCAAAGGATCTCGATGAAAGACATAGATGTAGAACATAGTCTGGAAGAACATATAGTCTACCAATTAAGTTTTTTTTTAATTTGGTGTGAACGTAGTCGCCGCCGATAGCTAGTCTTATATGCACGTCGGCTTACGCATTTATAATATAAGCAAAGATTTCTTTTTTCTTTTTTAGTCCCGCTGGATGGGATAGTATGAAGAAGATCAGCATATTGTACGAGAACATGCAGTCTTGCAAGCCCGATGACTACTACCGCGACATCATCGTACAACCCGCAACGAGGAAAGTCAGTATTATGTGCTATCTTTCTTTAATTTATACTTCCTATGTATTTATGAGCTTCGGTGGCTCAGTGGTCAAGCACTTGACTTGTAATCTGCAGGTCCTGGGTTTGAATCCTGCCATATACCAATGTGTTTTTCGATTTCTGATTTACATATGTACATTTATCCGACGTTTTTACGGTGAAGGAAAACATCGTGATGCAATCTGCACATATCTAAGAAGAAATTGAAGGATATGTGTGAAGTCAACCAACCCGCACTTGGCCTGCGTGGTTGAGTATGGCCTAGTCACCCCTAACTAAGGGTAGGCTCTGAGCTACTCAGTGGGGACGTATAGTGAGCTGATGATGCATGATGCATGTATTTATATTGTTGTTTGTGTTATTATTTGAAAATGACGGGGACGATGACTGTATGTTTTGGTTGTAGTATTTGTTGTGAGAGGAAGGTGTTGTGTGTGCAGAGCGGAGGTCTGCGCGAGGCGGAGGTGTGCGCGGAGGACGAGCAGGCGTTCCTGCAGCGTCAGCTGGCCGCGCTGCAGGCCGGCGCCCCCGCACCGCGCGCCGACTCCCCGCTGCGCGCCGCACAGCGCACCGCCGCACAGGTACCCACCACTACACATCTTGCTCATACTTTTAGAACTTGTCAATATGAGTGTTTCCACACAATGGGATTTTTTCCCCATTGGATCGATTGAGTGCTTAGAATAAAAAAAAATCCTTTGGTTCGATAGATTCTGGTTAACCGTTCGCTTCCGAGACCAAATTTCCCCTTTAATACATATCGTTATCTCTATTTTGTCAAAGATAATGTCAGAGTAGCAATCTTTTATATTGAGATTTTGGTCTTAGAAACCCACGAATAGACCATCAAAGTTATCTCTTTCCGTGAAAATACGGGTAACTAAAAATCCTATAACTCATTATATCACTTCCATATAAAATAAAATAAAAAAGTGACTGTGTCGGACTGCAGCAGTCTTGTCATGTAATGTCTTAATAAATATAATTAATTTGTTTTTGTGACACATTGATAAATATTGTACACTTGTTGGATAGTTGGACGGCACAAAGATCAGCATGGGCGGCGGCACTCCGGGCAACGAGGGCGTGCTGGCGAACTTCTTCAACTCGCTGCTGTACAAGAAGACGGGCTCGCCGGGCGGGGTGGGCGGCGTGGTGGGGGGCGCGCGGGCAGCGGACGCCTCGCCCGCCGCCGCCGCCGCCGCCGCGCGCTCTGACGCCGCCGCCGAGCTGGACCGCCTCACCCGCGCCAAGCGCGCCCCCCACCCCGCGCCCCTCGACCTCAACGCCTCCGACTGCTAGCCCGCTGCCGCACTGTCGCAGTCAGTACTACACACTATCGCCCGCCAGTACGCTCGCGCTAAATTAAAAAAAAAAAAAAACTTAGTTGTTCTTCCAGACTATGTTCTACGTCCATGCCAAATTTCATCGAAATCCATACAGCCTGGAGATATCTGCTAGCGTACATCCATCTATACATTCGCATTTTCATGTTAGTAATATTGAATAAGCCAGCGCTGCACCACGATCTACCTTATGTTAAATGATGTGGTCAAAAGATGACATGCGCTAGCTTAATAAATGTCTATTGACTCTACTTTTACTTCCATTCTGATGGGAAGTGGACGAGGAGATGCATGCGGGCATGTCAGACTATTTTTTACAGCTATAAATGACTACTGCTGTTAGTTTAATTTTTATTTGTATTTTAATTTCAGATCACATTAGCGAGCGAACACGAAGTAAGTCTAGCTCCGGCTCCTCCAGTGAGCGACGCTTGCGCACCGCGCCAACAACTGTTTCAACCTTACTCTATACATTGCTGGCTTGTACTTGGTTGTCGTCGTCTCGGTGACCTCACGCATCGATGTAACTCGAATACATCTGTACCGTCGACTACTCATGTCTGCGTCGTGGTGTCGCTTGCAACCGTCGTGTGGATTCGCGCGCTGTCGCGGCGCTGTGATTGGTCGGCCGATCGCGACGGGCGATGGCTATTGGTGGAATTTCATTGTGACGTCATGTAGCGCGCTTGCGTCGCGGCGGACGTGTCAATATCGGCAAAGAGTGATTATAAATGTATTGTTTATATAAAGGAATAGATGTATTGTAAATTTAATTTGGTAGGATCGGGCCATTTTCCTCATAACGAAATTATTTCATATTTATACCTCGAAAGTTATAAAGATAAAAAATATATAATAAAATACTGTTATATAATCGTGTCAAATATCAATGAAATGACTAATAATAACAAAATTTTTAACATAATTAACTGACTTTTAGTTATACGGAAAATGTGTCTATTTCTACCATTAGGAGCAAGTTTGTAATACATTTCCATTACGCTACAGTGAAGTCGAAAAGCGGAAATTATTTCCTATTTCATAAATGTTTTATTTGTAATATGTTTTTAATGATATTAATTAAGTATTTATTTAGTTAGCCTCAAGTGTACGTGATTAATAAGATTATGTGACGGCAACAATACGTATTTTTTAATAAAAATTTTTTTAATGCAGTCCAAAATGGCCGTCATCGACATTTTGTATACGGACGAACCGTCGTTTCTGTGGTAAAACATTTGAAATATTAATTTAAACTCTATTGCAACGAATTTTAAGCATATTTTTTTGCAACTGGTAAAACTTGAACTCCCTATACTTAGTAATTGTATACAAAACAGAGGTCAGGTACAAAAATGTCTAAAACTATGTGTTAACCACAGTCAGGACGGGCCTTCTGTACTTAAGTAAACTAGGAATGGTTCAGAACTGAGATTAGGCGATTTCCAAAACAACGTGATCTTCTTCAACGGAAGACTGGCCGTGCGATATTCATGTATAACTCAATCACTGTTTTGTACAAAACTATCTTATTATGAACAAAGACAACAACGTTTGTAAACAAAATTCATCCGTAATTTCTTAAAAATTAACCACTTTGATATGGTAACACTGAAGAAATTCTACCAATTTAGTAGTATTTTATCTTGACAATTGTGTGTTGCCAGTCATGTGCGAAATTTACCGAAATGTTTACGCGTACAAAATTGTGATATTTATGATTGTTGCCGTGTATGAACGATGGTTTACCTTCTATTGCCCGCATTATTGCGGCAGCTATTGACTTGAATTCGTTGAATATTTTCAAGAATAGTCAATATTAAATAAGGTAAAGTAACCCATGTACTATACATAGATAGACCCTTAAATTTAAGATTATCTGTAAAAAACACTTATTTGATGGTTAAAATTGGTTCTAACGCAATCGAAAAGTCATTGGATGATGACTATTCGTATTTGTGCGCCTAAAGACCTACCAAATTTAAACAAAACTAATTATTTAATGTCTTGTCCAAATTATCGAGAGTTTAATCCTATTAATTTTATTGCACAAATTATTTTAGTTTAAAAACAAAAAAAACTGATATAATTTTTGTTACTCGGTGATCATATTTGAGTTGCTTAAAATTTTATTTATATATCAACAATATATATTGGTAAATAAATAATAATACATTTCTAAAGTATATAGTATTCGAGTGTAATTCGTATTAAAATGTAATAATATGTAATTTGTAAGGGACTATCTATGTATTTAGTGCTTAATGTCAAAACAGTTATTTCCCGTGTCATTGTTCATTCTGTCGGTTCACTCGTTTCACGTAAACTATTTGATATTGAAATTAATGGTGACCTTTATTGTTGCTCTTTGTAGCCGAATTTATTTATTTTAATTCGCTGATTTTTTCGGGAGATTATTTTTTTTATATCTGGCCACATTTAATGGAAAATGTACGATAACGAGTGTACACATTTTTTGTAATTCGAATTTTTTTTGTGGTGCAATACAGAACATTCCAAACATGGTTTGGTGCTTATTATTTTAGTAAAATTATCGAATACAATCTGGAGTTTCATTTTTTTCAATATATTGCCCGTTCGCTATCTTCGTTCACAAAAGTTCGGTTAGTGATTTACTTTTTAAGCACTAAAGGTCACTATTATTAAAAATGTTTACAATTAAGAAAAATGCACACTTAGAAGACCACAGACCATATCGTAGGTACTTAAAATAATTATTAATCTTGTAGCTTCGATAAAATAATCATAATTATTGACGGATATGGGCTTAGCTTTCCGTATACAATTCCTAAACTTAAGTATTTATAAATGTTAATTATTATTTTTGGGATTTGTAACTTATTAACTTGAGTAATATAGCGTAGTTGTAAAGTAGTATTATTTAAATAATGTGACAAACTTATTAAGATTAGTTTTTTAATAAGTTTTTTTTGTTTAACGGCAGCTAATCAATTCTTAATGCTATTCAGGCCATTATCTCGAAAAATTTAACTATTATTTACTTTCCATTATTCACTTCTAATTAGTAACACTATTAGTATTTTACATATGACAATACTTTGTTAAAACTACATCGAAATTCAAAAATACTATAAATAAGTTTGTCAAAGTTTAACTGCTATTCGATGTATTATATTATTATTAATATGTAATTGGACGTTTTTTCAAATTTCTTTAAGAGTGTTAAGAAGAAAAGCTATATATTTTTGTAATGAGGTCAAAAGTGGCTATACTCCATTGTTGGGCGAGTTTTGTAAGTGTTGCCATACTGCGAGATCATTTTTTCTACCAGTGTGGGATAAAGCGTTTGACAAAATTTCTTTATTTAGGATATCGCTATCGTATTAATATTAAAAGAAAGTGGGCATAATGTAATCGTACGTAGGATATTATAATTATTAATATTGAAAAAAAGATATTTTGGGTACAAATTACTCGAAAGCCTTGTGGCATCAAACTTAAAAATTTCACTAAGCCATCATTCAACACGGCTAGAAACTAGATAATGTACTGGAAAATACGGATTAGTTTTCATTTTATTGCTCATATATTTTTCTCTTATATGAACTAGTCAAATTATCGTTTCTTTTAATAAATAGTTTTTGTCTTTTGTTGCGTCTTTCTCTGTGATATGCATAAATAGAACAAAGTGGTGTTTCTCTGTTGTATGATTGGCCACTTATCCCTTGAAAATAGAAAAAAAAACAGTTCTTTATATTTCATCAAACATGTTCTAAATTTAATTTGATAACTTATAATCAAACTTTACTTTTAAAAGCCCATTTTTAAATTATTATAAATTTTTGTTACGAAAATAATATTGAAATTGATAACTTTTTAATTTTTAGTAAATTAAAATAGAATTTTCAAGTTTTATCGCTCATTGCAAAATGCAATTTTGGTTGTAATTATTTTTTCTTAATATAAAAGGCATAGTGATATAGTAATAAATTCTCAGTGGATAGTTTTTTACGCTTTTTTAGATTAGTACATAAATATTTATGGTGAATCTTATATTGTCCTATATTGTGTATGATGATTAAAGCTTAATTTTATCATTATATAACTACGAACATTATAATATTTATGTAAATATATCTATTTGTATTTTAACATATGTAAAGATATTAAACTACCATTTTTAATTGAAAACTATCAGGCATATATTCTTGTTTACACATAATAAAATGATTTTAAGTTTCAATCTGTCATGTGTTTCAACTTCAATTATATTTATGTCCGAAACAATATGTGTAAAATATATAAATTGTAAGGCATAATATCTGAATTCTGATGGTTTTGATAAAAAAAAATTAATAAATCGATGTATTTAACAAATCCGCTCAATTCATACATAATATTATATAAATAACATTTCTATATTTTCCATTTAATAACTATGGGTGTTGATATACACACACTAAGTTATAGGACGTTTTATTTAATAAATACAATTACTGAAAATGGCTTCATTACCCAAAGTTTTGCACAACATGGACGCAATTTGTGAATGGTCTTGTCTATCAAAGAGTTTGATTTCCTGTAAATGCACTCGACTCCGTAATGAATTTGTGTTACTGAGTGACCGCAGTGTATTTCTTAATCCTATTACATAGCAAGCAATTTTTATTCTAAAGCTTATTGGCGATTATTGTACAGATTTTCAAATAAAATAGCACTGAAACTGTTCTCTGAATGTGATTTTTATTTATGAAAGACCTTCCCGCATTAGTTCGGATGAAGTCTTATCCTCAATTCACGTAAGAAAATGTATTGTTCCGTATTTGATTATATAACATTGTTTATTATCTGGGTATTTGTGTGGTTACATTTTTCGAAAATGGTTATGAAACATCTAAAAAAGATTCCCATAAATTAATGTTACGTTTTTGGGTTTTTAGATATTGCAACTCACGAATACTGTCACTATCATAAATGACATATTGACGTTCATTAATGTCAAATCTCATCTTCAGTCAAACGAGGGATTTGGCAAGTCGCGTAGGAAATGTTTATTAAATTATTTAAAAGAAATCTCTGTTCGTAAAATATCATTAATGCGGTTATTAAATTTGTAGAAAAGGTCCGTGCAAGTGATTCAGTGTCAAAGTGAACTTAGTGCAACTAAATGCAGTTCTTCACTAGTGTTTAATAATAGTTTTTTTTTTTATTTCCAATTCAATTTCACATTTGCTTTGTATTATGATCGATTGAATTTGAAGTGGCAAATATCATTATGGGGCAAAGTCCGAGTTCAGTGCGAAGTAAGTCTAGTAGAAGATCTTTCCGCGGTTTTGTCAGGCGGACGAAATTAAATAAATCCAGTTTGAGTCATACATTCAACCTGCCGCCGTCGGAAGAGTACCCAGAGCTGATGAATGTGAACACAGCGACCGAGGAGCAGCTGATGACTCTGCCCGGTGTCACCAGGCAGCTGGCGCGGGAGATCGTCCGCCATCGGCAGATGATTGGCAGATTTAAGCGAGTTGACGACCTTGCGTTAGTCTCAGGTGAGTTATGTTTTTTTTTAATTTGTGTTCATTAATTCAGTAATATTTAGGCAATATATTGTTTAATTTCAATATTACTCAAAGAGTTTCATTATTTACATAAAACTTGTAGGTATTGGGGCAGAGAAGCTTGAGTTACTAAGGCCAGAGATATGTACAAATACGAGAAGACAGATATCTCGCGCTAGTTCATGCACACATTCTTTAGACAGTGTGAGATTTACGGGTGAAAATAAATTATGCTCCATCAACAGTTCAAGTGTTTTCCAACTTCAATGTGTACCTGGTCTTAACCAGGAAATAGCTGCAAATATAGTGGACTACCGAAACAAAAAGGGCCCTTTTAAATCCCTCGATGACTTGATTAAAGTAAGAGGAATGGATATAGTAAGATTAAGTACAGTGAAACATCACTTGAGCTTAGAACCAAGGAAATGTGAGAGTGTTCAGCTATTAGCCAATGGTCATACATTTGGGTGGACTGAAGACTCAATAAATGAGCCAAGCTTGAACGGTGTACCAGAAGTTAGGACACCTCATAGAAAAAGTTTGTCAATGCCAAACAAACTGCCAATAACATTGCCAAATGGATTTGCTACAGCTCCAGTAAATGATATATTAGATTTATTGGCTGCATATTCTCACCGGCCAGTTGTTGAGGAACTATTTACATATGAAAGAGATGGTGTAAGATGTTGCCGCATAGCATCATGGAACCTGCACCAGCTTAGTATAGAAAAGATAACAAATCCTGGCGTTAGAGAGGTGGTTTGCAGGACTATTTTGGAAAACAAGTAAGTACAACTTGTTGGTATTTATTTATTTGTAATGTTTAAGAATTGTTAAAATATATTTTTACATTGATCTGATGATGTTTAAAACAGTTATATACAAAGTTTTTTAAGGAGTAAATAAGACAAAGATGAAAAAAATATACATTTAGTTTAAATTTAAATTACATGAATGTTTCTATAACTGTACTTTACAATGTTTTATATAATTGTTATCTTAAATAAAGTATTGTATACTTTAAGATAACAATTGGACTATTCAGATAAGATAGAAAAGAAATACCAAAGTAGATAGATAATGATGTTGTAACATGTAATATATATGTTCAACTATTCATGCTGTGTGTTGTTACTAGCTGTAGCACGCGGTTCTGTCCGCAAGGATTTAAAAAAAAATTAGTAGTCTATGTGTTCTTCCAGAACAATGTTCTGTATCTATGCCAAAATTCATTGTGATCCGTTCAGCTGTTCTAGAGATACCTACAAACAAACATCCATCCATCTTCCACTTAGGCCCAGCCATAAATTACAAATTAGCTTAAATCTATGTCAACCCTTTTATTTTAAGCTGAAATTAGATTTTTTTTTATCACAATGATCTCCAGAATTCGCCGAAATAATTAAGCGATCACTACCTACAGATACCCACAAATGTAGATATATTGCCTACCTAATTGACCGAAGAGGACAATAAGAAAGAGAATATCTCCCGTTCCTATCAATTTCCTGCTCCATCAAATCCACTTTCCCTTTCCATACGAAAAAAAGGTGGGAAAGGAAAGAGGATTAAATTTAGGCCACACACGCTCATCAGAACAAACATGGTGTTGCTTTCACTACACACCTATCTTCTGTGGGTTTGTGGTATAGCACCGAGCGACCTAATCCAGTTGTGTAACAGACGTTGTTGCTGACCTCAACTACTTAAGAAACACTATCATGATTGTTAAGACTAGATGTTAATTTACCAGGTTATCAATAATAGCCATACAAGATGTGTTGGAGCCGGCCGCATTGAAGGTGATATGCGAGGAGCTGAACAGTCCTGCGTTGAGGCGGGTGCGTGAGTGGCGTTGCAACAGTCATAAATGGGACTACTGCGCCAACGACAGAACTGATGGGTGAGTTTTATAATATCTTATCTTATATCTTTATATGAGCAATGCTTGTATATATATATACAACGTTTTTAAAAAAAAATAGTATATAGAGGGTTTCGGGGGCGATAAATCGATCTAGATAGGAATCATTTTTAGAAAATGTCATTTTATACGTGTTTTATCGATAATCAACTTAAACATAAACTTAACTTTTTCTATCGCTAAGATTGAAAAATATTATTCATATGTCATCATTTTATTAGTAATTCGTACTTAAATATAATTACCAAAAAACACAATTTAAATTTATCGGTCATCCAGATTTTAATAACTTTATGCCCGGTTTACATTATTCCAGTATAGTAGCGCTGGCCCGGTATTCACATTATGCCAGCACTGATTTTGTCCATACTGCTTTGGGGTGGAAAGGGCGCGCTTTAATGTACATTATAAGTTGGTTGATGTATGTCTCTGAAATATTAGATTGCTTTAATCTGAAGATTCTAATTCAGTCAGAATGTACTGGCATGTTTTATCGAGACTTGATATGGTGGTATACTTCTCCCTTTTTTTGTGTAATCCTACAAAAACATGTAACATTAATTATGCCGAGATTAAATACAATGGCGAATTCAAAATCATAAACCGGAACTAAGTAGATACGGGCCTGGAAGTACGACATTGGCACATTTTCCTTTATGTTATTTGACATACATAACATTTCGAGTGAGACAACTTTACTCTTCATATAATTTTACATCAGAATTTTATAGTTTTAACATCAACAACATTTTTATTTGTCAGAAAAACGAATAAAACGCTTAGAGACGGTGCTGAGTACCATTGCGTGACTACAGCCATAAATATCGTGTGTAGTTTATACGTGGTTATGCTCAAAGACAATTTGTCATTATAATTATCTTTGCCAAGGCTTCGTAAGTCACCCATTGTGCGGAAATTTGTCTGTTTAAAGATATCTTTCGGATTAAATCTTGCCGGATGCTCACCCTCGAAGTAATATCAAAATTGTCTTAGTTAACCTGACATTTTTTTGTAAATTCTGTCTACCCCATTTGAATACCTCTCTTCAACTGTTTTACGATTCATTTAGTAACAATTCGTAATATGTGAAGACGTGCCTCGTCTCATCAATTGCAGCTTGTCTCGGCCCCAATTGACCTTCAACTGGCAATGCAGACCTCTGTCGTAGAGGTCACAATAACTGAATGCCGCCAGTGTTATGCAGTTCTTATTTGAGTATCGCTTTGAGATTCATCTCTAATTAGTGTAACAGATGGTAGTTACTGTTATTTCAATCTGGTTGCACAGAGATAGTAATGTTGCAGATGTTTGACTTTGTCAAATATCTTCAAACTAAATATAATATAACTAGCTGTCGCCCGCGACTCCGTCCGCGCGGCATTAAAACGTAAAAATAGATGTTGGTCGATTCTCAGTCCTACTCGATATGTTCACAAAATTTCATGAGAATTGATCAAGCCGTTTCGGAGGAGTATGGGAACGAAATTTGTGACACGAAAATTTTATATATAAGATGTGTATGTTTATATTTTTGTCAGCTATGCGTTATTTAATCGTACTATCAACATAATTAGCAATCTTTGTCATATCTATCCAATTTCACATAAACTTTATAATCTATACAATCCAAGCTATTAGACTTTAAAATTTATTTATTGTTGATGTACAAAAGTAATTTTAAAGTAATTATTTTAAATCTCTCTCAAGTATGATTGGCTCCAGCCAACGCGTAAACATTAAGGTTAAAACCTCGTGAGGGGCGACCCTACTTGTGAAGTTGGGGAGATGATGACTATATATTCATATCCCAATTCTACATTTAAATAATCGGTACAATACCTTCATATGTACAATGGATATTCATAGATTATTCTATCGTTAGAAACAAACAAACGTCACCACATTAACTAACGGACCTTTACTGTCACCTGTAACTACAACGTGTTTGTCGGTAGCTAGATCGAACGATAACAGTTATCAATTCAACAGAGACTGCCACACAATACATTCCATCTCCAAGGCATTTAAAAATTAAAATAAAATGTACAGACGTCATTGTACCACTTTAAAAAAAAAAGCATTGTATTTAGCGACTTTATTCAGAAACTTTTCGATAAAAAAAATAATTTTAAACTTTACGTGAACAATCACAGGCGTGTCAACCTCGCACATGGACTGTGAACGCCCTTGAATATTGACACAATAAAAGAAGATAATATTAATTACCATAAACGTTAGTTAACATACTTTTTATTTAAATATAATCAGCCAGTTTTTATTTACATAAAATGTGGCACAAGAAACATTTGAATAAGTGTTTTAAACGTTTTTAAACTATGAATAATTATGCCTAAATATATAATAATTTGCCATACTTAGTGTCGTTTAATGGCTATTAATAAGTCCATTAGTGTATATTGTTTTAAGGATTTATAAGAAACTAGCTGTTGTCCGCGTGGATATATAAAAAAACTTAATTAGTGTAGCCCACCCATCCATCTATCCACATCACATTCATCTAAACATTCGCATTTATAATATTAGTAAATTAAATAAAAAGCAGCTCTTCAAGGCATAAATTCGAAATAAAAATGAATAAATAGTATCCTATGTCCGTCTCCTGGCTCTAAGCTAACTCCTCACCAATTATCAGCCATATCGGTAAATAGTGTAACTAACACGACTTTCTTTTATATATATGTAGGCAATTAATCTTTACATACATTTAGATTTTATCGTATTCAAAATGATTTGAAACGGATGCAAATGTTACTCGTGATAACATTATAATGTTGATGATTAAATTATTACGTGTTATTCTATTGTGATTTGAATAAGTAAAAACGTAATTTGACTATTTATTTTTAAACTACGTACGTTCGCCTAGTAACTGAAATATTCATTGCTTCTGTTATTGTAAACTCATAGATGTTACGGTGGAAAAGCACTTTAACTCTGTTACAATTCTAAAAATAATATAATAATAATGAACTCCAAGAATGTCTGTTTCATCATATAGACTGATTCTCGGATCTTTTATATTTACAGGTTTGCATTAGAGCATGGTTGTAAGGAAGTGGGTCAATTATTTATACTTTGACAGCGATAAAATCTTTATTTAACGTAGTTTAAATGTATGAATGGATGGATGGATGTTTGTTGGAAGTTGTCTTGAACTGTTTATAATCGCGCTGAAATTCGGTACTGATGTAGAACATAGTCTGGAAAAAGTAGCAACTTATTGTTATTTTTAGGGTTGCGTACCTCGAAAGGAATAAAACGTTACCCTTATAGGATCACTTTTTTGTCTGTCTGTCTGTCTGTCTGTCAAGATCCTTTTTCTCAAAAACGCGTGAAGCTATCAAGCTAATATTTAGCGGACTAGCGGTCTACAGCTGGTTTATAAGATTGATTCTACATTTAAATATTAACGGTACATGTACGAGACATATTGCAGTCGGGGTTGCGGACGAAAGCGAAAGCGTGCCCGTGACCTCGCCATTATGCGTAAGAGGAACAGAGGGGTTTAGTGGGTGTGCTTCCCATCTGGAAGAAATCCCACATAGTTACCGTGACCCCCCCCCGGGGGGGGGGCACGGAGTATGCATAAAGTATTCCCCTCTGAAAAAAAAGAGGTGAGACATATTGATAAGCAACATTGTACATTCATACATAATTGTGGCTTTGATAAAAATAATCGTATTTGATTGTGGTCGCCTTCGTTTCATCATCAGCCATTAAGTACAGCTGTTAACACGTGATACTAAATGATGATTCATTGTGATATGTAAAGGAATTAAATGATATACTTTCATAAACTACCAACGCCTAAAGCTTGGAAAACTGAAGTTTAGCTAAACGCCTTCATCATTGTGACTATGATATTTTACTTCTATATTTGACTAAATAAACATAATAAATCGTCACTAATTCGTTTAATCCAACACACGTTTAATCACAATATATGTCTGAAAATTTAGGGTCGTAACTTCAGTTTTAATCCAAATAAAGAATTCACAAGACGCATATTAAAAGCATACGTAAGTGAGCCCTCGTCCCGGTGGATAGTGTTGGTTTAGAAAACTGAGGGGTTTAGTGGGTAGTCTACCTGTTCCTTGGAGTAGGAGATGGGGAGAAAATCCCACGTAACCATCGTGCCTTTCCCCAAGGCACGTACTGTACGTAACGAATTCCCCCCTGACAAAAAGGTGCATATTGGAATCATTGCGTTTGTGATCTGTTTTTTAGTAAAAATGTGTTGTGAAGAAGTGTTTTTTCAACTCGATGACAACCCTAGTTTATTTTAATTTTGTTTTAGGCCATCCCTAGGCTTCATCTACGAGGCGTCGCACAAGGGCGTGACTGTGGAGGACGTGGGCGTAGATCAGCTGCACCTGTTGTCAGAGGCAGCGGACGCTAAACGACTTAGCGAAGCTCTGACAGCCCTTCGAACTGACGACTGTCTTGCTTCGCCACAAGGTTAGTTACACATATATTACTCTTTTGTCCACTCACAATCGCTAATTGTGATCCTTAGCGTGGCTTTAATGGTCCACTTAGTTATTAACGAGTTTGAGGTAGTACTTGTTTTATAAGTAAAAATTAGTCTTTCAAATCAATTGATCTATGTATACCTTTACCTATTATTAAAACAGTCTAGTCTCTTTACAAACCTAATCAAATTTTATACGTTTCAGACTGTTCTTTTTTGTCTGACTACAGCTAAATCACATCGCAAAGTTCTTTCTTTTATCATTTAGTGTGAAACTGTGTGAGTTAGTCACTGAATCCTTGAACGTACTTACTTTGAACGGATCTTTATGTGGAATAGTTTTTTTTTATTTCTTCGTCTTCGTCTGGCTTCTATAAATACACGTTGACTGGACGCGTTTGCACCGCACTATCTTTGTAAGTGGGGTCGCAGATCTGTGACTATCATGAATATTTGCGACATAAGTTTTCGTAGTATTCGACAAAATAATTCCCAATAAGACCGCTTTCTCATATAAATTTTGTCGATAAACTTATGAATACTTTATCGCATATTTTCGTGGTAGGCACTGTAATACGTTAGAGTCAAGGTCGGTTATAATACGAGTGTTTGGTCTATGGATTTGTTTGATAATAACTGTAGGTCATATTTGTTATGTTTTTTATCATAACAATTGGTCTTTTATATGACCAATCAAAACAAATACTATTGTGATTTTTCAAGGTCATAGACATAGCTGGAAATGGGAAATGCGATTTCTTGGCCTTGCTTTCCTTATTTAGTTACTAGCTGTCGCCCGCGACTCCTCGCGGAATTAAAAATTAACTATATTAGTAGCCTCATTGTTCTTCCACACTATGTTGTACATCTATGTCAAATATACATACGATGTCCGTGCAGCCGTTGTTGAGATACATTCTTGCAAACATCCATCCATCCATACATCCAAACATTCACAAATGCGATGCTATTATAATTATAATATTAGTAAGAATTGTTAGTTTCTAAACAAGGAGCGGACCGAGGTGTAAGAAATTGTTCCACTCGACCAAACCAAGAGCCACTAATGCTGTACAGTTATAAAATTTACATATCTAAAGTAAATGTGTGGAAGTGCAGAAAACTGATGATTGATTAATTACGTGTGAATTTTGACCAATGAGCAACGAGCAAATTATTCCATGTCAAAGTATTAAAATGAAACCTTATAGCTTGAGAATGTTGCGCTGTGTTGTTGATACAGCGTCGTGTTTAGACACGGGCAAGCGGTCATGTAACAAGCCGGCCGATGTTTATATCGCGGCTGAAACATTTCGCCTTCCTGAGAAAACCGCGCACACAATTATACCACTCGTACGATACGCCACGTGAACGGGAAACTGCAACCGATAGGGCTGGCAAAAATAAAGCTATTTGTTAGTTGAATAAACAATAAAGACAATATGATGATGTGATGCTAACGACTTCATTATAGTATAGTAAATTCAGCAAATTATCAAAATGACTAGTGTAAAATTTAATTTAATATCAAAAAGTTAAATTAAAGTACTCAATAGTTTGCATAGTTTAAACAAATATATTTTTTTGATCAAGAGTTATAACTAGCTGTCGCCCACGACTCCGTCTGCGCGGTAATAAAAAATCTTAATTATTAGCTTATATGTTCAAACTATGTTATACATTTATGCCAATTTTCAGCAAGATCCATCCAGCCGTTCTAGAGATAATTTCAAACAAACATCTAAACATTCGCACTAATAATTTAAAAGTGGTAGAGCCCGCTTTAACATCTTCGCACGAATCGGCCCGGCTCGCCCGATGAAATACCACGACCACACAGAAGACAGGCGTGAAGTGGAAACAATTCCGCGTTACGTCTGATGAGTGTGCGTCCCGGAGGCCTAATTTAGTCCTCTTTCCCTTCCTATCCTTTTCTTTTTAAGGAAAGGATGGGAAGTGGAAGTTGACTTTCCGGATGAGAGGATGCAAGGAAAGGGAAGATATTTTCTTTCTGTGCATCCTCTCCTCCGTCGATTAAAGGTAGGCAACGCATATGCAATTGCGTATGTCTATGGGCAACGGTCACTTCGCTATTTCAGCGATTTTGGGTGGCCGCTCGCTCGTTTGCCATCTTATGATACAAAAAAAATATATATATATTAGTAAGATTATATGTATTTTTTTAATTGTGTCAACCCTATAATGCGTTGGCGTTTCGTTTGCTTGTATTGCGTGTGGTATCGTAAGGTAACTCGCAGATCGATTCATGAATAAGTTTTATATTGCTGAAAATAGAAAAACTGCATTTATCCACATCGATATTTCACCAAATCGATTATTTTACACCTCCATCAATTCAATCACAAGTAAAAAGCCGCTTTATCAATGATTATGATTAAAAAGTAGTCAGTTTTGATATATAAAAATCTTATAAGAGGACAGCATTTAGATTGCATTCTATCTAAAAAAAACATATAAATTCAAATTTCAAAAATAGAACAAAAAAAAACGTTAAAAATATTTTTCATAAAGTAAAGTCAGTTCTAACCACTTCAATTACTTTGAATCTGCGTTCAGATGGAATAGTTTCGTTAAATTCGCAAACTGCTATGTTCCAAAAATAGCTCGCTATGTATTGATAAAACATGGAAACTTCTTTCGTGGAAACGACTGTGCACGTTTACGTAGCTATGTAACTAGGAAATTGGAAACGATTACAATATGATTTTGTATAAAAGACTAGCTGTCGCCTGCGACTCCGTACGCGCGGAATTAAAAAAAAAGTATTGGCCTCAGCGTAATGTTATATAACCTATAGCATTCCTCTATAAATGGACTATCCAACAAAAAAATATTTTTTCAAATTAGACCTGTAGTTCCTGAGATTAGCGCTTTTAAACAAACAAACTCTTCCGCTTTATAATATTAGTATAGATTACCAGTCTTCACGTCGAATTACCAGGAGTCCAGAAGATTGGCAATAGTGTTCTTTGTATTTTTAAATTAAACTTGCTCTTTCGCGAATTTTGTTAGATACGATCATTCAGAGTTGAAGTTGTGGATCAAAAGTTACGTTGATAGACGCGTGATTCTTTTTTTTATTTTAGTAAAGTTACACTTAATAGCTGTTTCGATTGTAATATAGTTTACGTGTAATTGTTATGCAGCAAATGCACGAAAGTCTTTGGAACAATGGCCGGTCCGAAAGCGCACACCTCGTCGTTTGCATAATTGATTCAATTTGATTCCATTGAGCAATGAACGCCAAGTGTGAGTTGTTCTTTGATTGAGTGTTACTAACCTTGCGAACCAAAATAGAAACAAAAGGAACGATGTTCTTCTCTTTCTCTCTCTTTCGTTCTCTTTCTTTAGGTGCTCCAACGTCAACTCCGAGTTTTTTTTCATTATTTTAGTTTACATAATTTGCATATTAATTTTTGCTGTACAATTTGCTTTTAGTTTTTGTGAGGAAAATGGTTGTAATTATTTTTTAAATTTGCATGCATGACATCAGTGACATTGTTTTGGTAAAATATGACCTTGAGGAAGAGATCGTGTTGTAAGATGTTTATTTGCCCGACTGGGAATAGGATTCATGTTTTTGGCTTGTATTAACGTATGTTTTTATATATTACTTCTTACTAATATTATAAATGCGAATGTTTAGATGGATGGATGGATGCTTGGTTGAAGGTATCTCCAGAACTTCTAAGCGGATCTCGATGACATTTGGCCTAGAAGAACACATAGGCTACTAATTATGTTTTTTTTTAATTCCGCGCGAACGGAGTCGCGAGCGACAGCTGTCGATAATTCGTTTGTGACTGCTGTGGGCTTAAACGTATTTTTGATTTGGTTATGATGGATATCGGAATTATTGATTTTTAAAACACGTTTTGTGCGCATTTGAAAGATAATTTCCTTTCTATTTGTCTTTGTATTGTAATTTTTTAATTAAATATTATATTAGGTACACTACATTGTCGGTTAATTACATGTTCTAATATATAAATGATAATTCCAGTGTTCACATAATTTTTATCATCAAATGTAATCACGGATATATCTATAAGTAGTAGATAGTGGCTAGTTTATATTTTTATATCATTAAACTATGAAATGAGAAGAACGTTCACCTGACGATAATCTTTTTGGTCCTTCGTGATTAGATTTTTCCATTTAGTTTAACAATTTCACTCTATTCTGCTTGGAGACAGAAAAATATGAAGGTATTGAGACGTTTATGTAGTTATAGAAATAATATTATATTACCAGAGAAATCATACGGTTTTTATTATAATGTATCTATTGTGAAAATTAAAAGTTACAGGAAATTAGACCTTATCTTCTGCCAACATATCGTTGAAATTCGTATGCATTTTGTAAGGAATATTCCATTAAAATCGTTTAAATGCAATTTTTCCATTGCCTTCGCGTTAAAATGTCAAACCTTGTGCAGGCAAGTTGTGGAACTAAGCATACCGTTAATAACGAGTTGCACTTGTTTATTGAATGTCGAAAAAAAAAACGAAAAGACCGGTTCCGTGCGCGTTCAAGGCAAAGGACGTGATACGTTCATCGCCTTTACATGATACGACTTTTTATCGTTACTGTATTCAAAAATATTTAAAACAATTCCCACTAAAACTTGTTCTCTTGCAAAGAGACTTTGTTAATGAGGTTAAATGTCAAAGAATTAATGCAAATTAAATGTAAATAAAAAGTATGGTAAATATAATAATAAATATAAAAACAATTATCTTTTATATAAAATTCTCGTGTCATAATTTTCGCTCACATACTCCTCCGAAACGGCTTGACCGATTTCATGAAATTTTGTGAGCATATTGAGTGGGTCTGAGAATCGGCCTACATCTATTTTTAATCCCGCGCCGATGGAATCGCGGGCGACAGCTAGTAATGGTCTATTAATCAGTTTAAGAGACCCACCACACTAAAGACTTTTAGCCGCTAGTTTGATCGTGCG